GCTTAACCATTGCTATGTGGCAGTTATTAATGTTGCTCAGCCAATACTCTGGGCTCTGCAGGAATCCAAAAGTGATTGAATTTCACTTTCCAGCCCCACAGGGGTAGGTAGGGCCATGTGATCGGTATGTATGCATGTATATGTGATTTATTGATTGAGTTACAGGGTTTTCTCTGTCACCCCAGCTAGAGTGCAGTGGCATCACAGTAGCTCACAGCAAACTCAAGCACCTAAGTTCAAGTGATCCTCCTGCCTCAGCCTTCCAAGTAACTGGGACTGTAGGCACCACCCACATTGCCTGGCTAATTTTTCTATTTTAGAGAAAAGGTCTAGCTCTCGCTCAGACTATGCTTGACCTCAGGAGTTCAAGACATCAGCCTCCCAGAGTGCTATCAATTCTTAATGATCACAATTATTAACGGTAGATGCAGAGAATACAGGAAACTAAGCTGAGTGTTAACAGACCATGTGACACAACCAGAAGCTGCTTGGGGAGTAGGGCTCTCCTGCAAAATTTGGGGATAGGATACACAGAGTGTTGTCACCACACCCTACTTTGGGACTAGTATGTATTTCACAAGTGCTTAGATACCACATGCAGACTTCTAGATGTAGCAGAAGCTGTCAATGTTCCACCCCTGTACACTCAGATCCCCTTAAAAAAACCAAGCTGCTGGTGTGCTTTCCATTCCAAAACATGCTATGGGACAGCCTTAACCAATGATGGGTGCAGGAAAACTCAGATGAGGAATTATCGATCAGGAAAATTCTACACTCTGCAAGGCACTCTGTGGAGTTGAGAAAAAGTTACCTTCCAAGGGACCCTTGCTTGGCCTCCCTCTCTTACTGGTCCCACTTCCCCACCTCACCTACCCAGGCACATATATGTCCTAATAAATTACTTTCACACAGCTTCTCATCTCAATCTTTTGTTACTGCAAAAGCTAACCTGAAAAACAGCTTTAAAACAGAAAGGGTGAAGCTAAGGCTTGTGAAAGCTTTGTAGACTAAAGAATACCATACTATGAAGAATTCAGCTCATGTAAGACAGATGTGTTCCAACTTACAACAATCCTTCCCTAAGTTATAACTATGAACCAGGTGCAGAGGCTCACACTTCTAATCCCAGAACTTTGGGAGGCCAAGGTGGAAGGAGTACTTGATGCCAGGAGTTCAAAATTAGCCTGGGCAATACAGCAAGATCCTATCTCTACAAAAAAATTAGAAATTAGCCAGATGTGGTGGCATGCACCTGTAGTCCCAGTTACTTGGGAGACTGGGGCAAGAGGATCACATAAGCCCAGGAATTCCAGGTTACAGTGAGCCATGATTGGGTCATTGCACTGCAGCCCGAGCAATATAGCAAGACCCGTCTCTCTAAAAAACAAACAAAAAAAAATTATAACTATGCTCTGACCTATCTACAAATAGTGAAAACTTTGTAGACTACTGGTTCTCAGATTTTGGCATGTACCTCAATCACCTGCAGGACTTGTTAAAATATAGTTTTCATTTTACAGGTGAAGCATCTGAATCACAGAGAGGTCAAGAAAGGTGCCCAGGCCAGGTCATGCCTATATCCCAGCACTCCGGGAGGCCAAGTAGGGTGGATTGCTTGAGGTCAGGAGTTGGAGACCAGCCTGAGCAAGAGCAAGACCCTGTCTCTAAAACTAGCTGGGCCTTGTGGTGGGTACCAGTAGTCCCAGCTACCCAGGAGGCTAAGGCAAGAGGATCACTTGAGCCCAAGAGTTTGAGGTTGCTGTGAGCTATTACATCAGGGCACTCTACTAAGGGCAGCAAAGTGAGACTCTGTCTCAAAAAAAAAAAAAAAAGAAAGAAGAAGAAAGTGCCCAGAGCCATAGAGCTCAGTAAATTCAAAGCCAGGCAGCTCACTCTCCTTCTCTTCCTATGTGGGTCATATGGTCAAGCTTGGAGCTACACCAAAACACACTATGGCTCCCCAGGAAGCTTGCTAATTGTTTTGCCTAATATAAATAATAGCTAATAATGCTAGACTGTAATACAATAGAACATGCAAATTTTTTTCTTTTTAATTTATTTACTGTTATTATTTTTTAGACAGTCGCCCTGGGTACAGTGCTGTGGCATCATAGCTCATAACAACCTCAAACTCTTGAGCTTGAGCAATCCTCTTGCCTCAGCCTCTCAAGTAGCTGGGACTTCAGGAACTACCTCAATAATTGGCTACTTTTTCTATTTTTAGTAGAGATAGGGTCTTACTCTTGCTCAGTCTGGCTCTTTTTATTTTTTGTGACAAGATCTTAATGTGCCCCCTCCCCCCAAGCTAGAGTACAGTGGTATAATTGGTGCTAACTGGAGCCTTGAACTCCTGGGCTCAGGTGATCCTCCTGTCTCAGCTGCCTGAATAACTGGGACTATAGATGTGCACCACAATGCCCAGCTAAGTTTTTAATTTTTTGTAGAGACAGTATTTCACTATATTACCCAGGCTGGTCTTGAATTCCTGGCCTCAAACAATCCTCTGCCTCAACCAAAGTGCTAGGATTATAGGTATGTGCCACTGTGCCCAGTCCAGAAAAGAACTTTATTCTTTTTTTTTTTTCCTTTCTTTTTCTTTCAGACAGAGTCTCACATTGGCGCCCTCAGTAGAGTACTGTGCATCACAGCTCACAGCAACCTCAAACTCTTGGGCTCAAGTGATCTCCTTGCCTCAGCCTCCCAAATAGCTGGGACTACAGGTACATGCCACAATGCCCGGCTATTTTTAGAGATGAGGGGCTGTCTCACTCTGGCTAAGGCTGGTCTTGAACTCATGAACTCAGGCAATCAACCTGCCTCAGCCTCCCAGAGTTCTAGGACTACAGGCATGAGCCTCCTTGAGGCCTCAGAAAAGAACTTTAAAATGTGTTTGTTTGTTTTAAATCGTAGCTGTGTACATTAATGGAATTATGGGGTACAATGTGCTGGTTTTACAATTTGAAATACTTTCATCAAACTGGTTAAAATGTGTTTTAACACAGCACAAGTAGGACCTCTAAGATGCTTATAATGTTCTATTTCTGGATTACCTGGGTAATCTAGATCAAGAAATGGTTACATGGCTATTCTTGGCTTGTGAAAATTCATTGTGTTGTACACTTGTGACATGCATTTTTCTACATGTTAAATATTTCCTGTAAAAGTTTAAGAATTCAGTTTTCTCACAAGCAAAATAATGACGCAGGCCTGCTAAAGAATCTTTTGACCACAGAGTATTTTGTGCTGCAGAAGTGTGCTCACAACATATTGATTGAGCCAGATGAGGGTTGTGAACAGAGGCCAAAGCTGCAGAGAGGGCTCGGGTCATGTTGTGAGTGCTTCAGAAACCTTCCTCCCCACCGCACTTACTCAAGCAGAATGACATCACCATGACATCACCATGGCGGAGGAAGAAAAGACAAGCATTTCCTCTCCAGCTTTTAGCTTCCCCTTCCCCGCCCCCCACTATGCTTAGCAGCAAATTATACAAAGGAGTGGCAGTCTCAGGAGCTAGATCCCTAGATCCAGGGAAGTCCCAGGCTAACTGTCACAAGCAAATCCTGGCAAGTCCCTGAAGTCCTAAAGGAGAAAGAGAGTATCACTATCACACTTCTGAGGCTGAAGCTGCTCGACGGCACCCACGCACTGTGCACACTCAGCACAGAGGAAGAAATAAATACGTAATCTGGACGGAATCCAAAACACTCACAA